GATGGGGCCTCTTGGGTGACCCTCTTTTCCGGCGGGACCTTCCCATAACTGGGGCACCCATCTTGGCCACTGGCCATCGACTGGCACTGGTGGGGCCATCTTGATTGTCAGGGAGAGACTGCCACAGGGGCAGCCATCTTGGCCAACAGTCATTGACCACTACTGAGTTGGCCGTCTTGGCCAACAAGCATTGACTGCCGGGGAAATGGTCATCTTGGCTAACAGTCACTGGGATGGCCAAGTCGGTCAACGGGCATTGACCACCACTGTGGTGGCCATCGTGACCAACAGTCACTGGCGGCTACTGGCCATGGTGGAACAACAGGCATTGACCGCAATGGGGGTAGCCATCTTGGCCAACAGTCCTTGACCACTACTGAATAGGCCATCTTGTCCAACAAGCATTGACTGCATTGACCCCTACTAGGGTGTCCATTTTGACCACTCGACATTGACCACTACTGGACGTGTACATCTTGGCCTATAGTGACTGATCGCTACTGGGGTGGCCATCTTGGCCAACAGGCATTGATTATCACAGGGATGGCCATCCTGGCCAGCTAGCAAGAAGGTCGGGAAGGGATGTCATTGCCTCTCTGGGAGAGGCGCCATGAGCCATCTTGTTGGCCAAAAAAGGTTGATGTATCTCAGGGTATGTCTACACTGTAAAGTTAATTCAAAATAACAGCCGTTATTTCGAATTAACTTTAATAGCATCTACGCAGGCAAACCGCAATTTCGAAATAAATTCGAAATAGTGGAGCCCTTATTTTGAATTTGGTAAACTCATTCTACGAGGTAAAACCAAATTGTTGAAATAGCTATTTTGAAATAAGTGCTGTGTAGACACTTATATTGAAATAGGTGGCCTCCAGACTTCCCAGGATGCCCTGGTGGCCACTGCAGCCTCAAACAAGAACACTCCTCTCCCTCCCTGCTCCCCACTCCCCGGAGCCCTTAAACGGGTTGTTGACTCTGGCGGGCCCAGAGCCAGCAGTCCCTTCCCCTGACCCAGTGGCCCCAAAAGGGAAGAAAGAAAGCCACTGGCAGTCAGCCCTCCACCGCTCCCCAGGAGCAGTCTGCCAGCTCCCAGGAGCCTGACGGGGCTGGAGAAGGCGGGCGCCTTCCTGGTCCAGGGTGGAGATCATGGACCTTATTCAGATTGGTAGACAAGCAAGCGGAGAACTGTGAGAACTGTCTGTCCGGGGTGGGGGTCGGGTCCCTTTAAGCACGGAGCTCACTTAGCCTCAGGCAGCAGCTCCATACACTAAGTCCTAACCGGATGCCCTGCCGGCACTGGCTCCGGCCAGCCTTAACCTCGCTTCAGGGTCCGCTCAGTGTGGACGCGCTATTTCGAAATACGTTTTGTGTCTAGATGCGTTATTTCGAATCAGTTTTTAGGTCTAGATGCGCTAATTCAAATGAGCTTAGTTCGAATTAACTAATTCGAATTAAGTCAGTTCGAATTAGTGCTGTAGTGTAGACGTACCCTAGATGCGTTATTTCGAATTAGCTTAGTTCGAATTAACTACTTCCAATTAAGTTAATTTTAAATAGCACTGTAGTGTAGACATACCCAGTGATGCCAGAGCATCGGCAGAGCCAATGCCCTCTGTGCAAAAGAGCCACGCCCAGAAGACGGCCTCTGACCCCTTTTGTTTACTGGAGGTCCTACCTTTATATACTTTGGAGATTGGCAGAAGCATCCCGTACTCTGGAGATGGGAAGTGGCAGAGTAACTGGCCTTTGAATTTGCCGTCCCATGAGCCAACAGGCTGATCCTGGAAAATAAAGGGGGTTAAGGAAATCGGCTCCCAATTTATAATCCCCTCAATCGGGATCTTGCTCTCTGGTCCCACCCTGGCACTTGGGGGTCAGTGCCCTCTCACCAGGTGGATCCCCACGAAGATCCCAGCCACCTCCTTCTTGGGCAGATAGTCACAGAACACCACAGTGCCCTTGGGGGCGCTGTCATCCATCTGGAAGACAACCCGGTCACCGAACTCCAGGGGCGGAGATTTGAGGGGGTCCCCCGTGGCCAGCTGGAGCCTGTTGCACGCCCGCTGGCCGCCCCGGGGGGCCATTGGGGGGCTGCGTTTCGCCCCCTCATCCGGCTCGATCCGGTTCACGGGCACGAAGACCCCGCAGTTCTCCTGGCATGAGAAGAATTTCTGGCCTCGGAAGGAGCCATCGGTGAAACCCTTCCCGGCTGCTGATCCCTAGAGGGGAACAGAAGAGGGGGGTTGACAAGGATGCTCCACAGTGCCCCCCACCCTGCAGCCAGATCAGGGCTGGTGCCTTCCCATGTCCCACTGCCCGTGATCTCACCGGTCCTGGATGGGGCTCGTGCCCACGGCAGGGGAAAGGCCCCATGTCCTACTTCCCATGGTCTACCTGGCCCAGTGGAGAGGAAAGACCCCAGGGTCCCATTCTTGCCAGACTTGGATGGAGGATGGCGCCCCCTAGAGGCTCCCGCTCCACTCTCCACCCCCTCCCACCCCAGACCCCAGGGTCCCATTCTTGCCAGACTTGGATGGAGGATGGCGCCCCCTAGAGGCTCCCGCTCCACTCACCACCAGCTCCACCCCGAAGATGACTCCAGCCTGCTCCTTGCTGTCCCCCATGGGCCCCCGGTAGCGCAGGATGCCCCGGGCCTTCTCCCCGGAGGCCGAGGTGATCTGGACCCGGACCCGGTCGCCCTGCCGCAGGGTCCCCCGCCGCCCCAGCAGCCCCTCCTGCCCGCAGAGCCCCCGGCGCT